CCAGCCCAGCCCCCCCCCCCCCCCTCTCTCCCTCTCTCTCTCTCTCTCTCACACACACACACACACACTGCGCGCAGGCCCCGAGGGCGGCTACTCGGTGTTTGCCGGGCGCGACGCCTCCCGCTCCTACGTGACCGGCAGGTTCCAGCAGGACGCCCACGATGACGTGGCGGGCCTGGGCGGCGAGCAGATGCGGGAGCTGGTGCGGTGGCGCCAGTTCTATGCGGACCACAAGGTGAGAGGCAGGTGGGCAGCTGGGGTGGGTTGGACGGCTGGGCGGCTGGGCAGCTGGGCCGCGGGACAGCTGGGCAGCTGGGCTGGAGCTCGCCAGCTGGGCAGATGGGCAGATGGGAAGCTGGGACGGCTGGGCAGCTGGACGGCTGGGCAGATGGGCAGCTGGATTGGAGCCCGCTGTCGTGGCGGGCGGCAGGCAGGTGGAGCAAGCTGTTCCCCTGGATGTAGGGTCCCCCTGGGCAGCTGCCCCCCGGGGTTGGCAGCTGCCCTGGCGCGGCAGCAGGCAGGCAGCCCGGCGGTGGGGCGCGCCTGGCGTGGCGTCCCCGCCCGCCGTGGGGTGGCCTCGGTGGGAGGGCAGCCAGCCAGATGCGGCCGAGGCTGTGTGCGACACACACAGAGAGGAAAAGTTGAATGCGCGCAAAAGGGCGGCATCCAGCTGGCAGCCAGCCACAGCGCGCCGCCTGAGCATGCAGCCGCGGCATTTCGGGGGCGCTCACCCCGGTCCCGCCCCTACTCCCGCTGCGCAGGAGTACAAGCGTGTGGGCCGGGTGGTGGGGCGGTTCTATGATGGCCAGGGCAGGGCCACAGAGCTGCTGCGCACAGTAGAGGCTGCTGCTGCTGCGGCGGCGGAGGCGGAGAAGGAGAAGCGGCGGCAGCAGCAGGGCGGCGTTGACGTCGATTACCCTTGCAACGTCAACTGGAGCAAGTCGCAAGGCGAGGCGCTGTTTGCGCGTCCCTTTCTGCGCCTCCTCCACACGCCCGTGCCCCCCTCCCTTCCCAGCCGGCCGCCCGGGCTGCCTCCGACCCAAGTGCTCCTGTCCCTGCGGCGTGCCTCCACCTCACCTCCCACACACCTCCACCCCACCTCCCTCCTGCAGGGGGCGCGGTGTGGTGCCCCGAGGGACGCTACCCGCGGCGCGTGATGCAGGCGGGGTGGGAGGGGCGGCCCGAGGAGCGGTGCGTGTGCCGGGAGTCTGCCGAGCACGGCGGCGCCGCGCGGCTGTACGAGGGCTGCAGCGCCGAGGCGACCCAGTGTGCCACCTCACCGCCAGAGGCCGCAGCCGGCAGCGGCGAGCAGGGGGCGGCGGCGGCGGCGTAGCACACTCGCGCTGCCATATGCATGCTAGTGTCAACTCTTGCAGGCCTGTGAAAATTGCGAGTCGTGAATGAATGTGCGGTCATGTGTGAATGCGGCAACAGCGGGGCGCCGCTGCTGGGCAGCATTTGTGCCTCAGGCGGCCAGCTCCTTTGAACCCTTTGAACAACCAATCGCTCTGCAGCATGCAACTATGTGGCGCAGATGGCACATGGCGTAGGTGGCACCAGCCCTGCCGCCTGCCGTCACTGCTGGGAGGCGCCGCCCGCCTCCACGCAGCCCCCCCGCCGCCGCCGAAGCGGGCTGGCCAGCTGCCGCGCCTGCGCCGCCGCCGCCCCCGCCGCCGCCGCCTCCCGCTGCGACCGCTCCAGCTGCTCGTGGTGGTGCCGCCACCAGCGCTTGATGCGGATCGCCTGGTGGTGGCCTGCAGGCGGGGCGGCGGCAGCAGCGCGGAAGGGGGCACGTGTCACACCCTATCAGCCACTGTACAGCTCGGCAAGCAGCCCCCTTCCCCTTCACCCTGTTCCCTACTGTCGCAGTGCGCCACGGCGTGGCGGCAAGCCGGCGGGGCCGGCCAGGCGGCGGCGCCAGTCCGCCCGGCCCTGCGCCGCCTGCTCCCACCCGTGACAAAGGCGCCGTGCGCGGTGTAGGCGTCGTCTTTGGAGGAGGCCTCGCCGGCAAACCACAGCCGCGTCTGCGGCGGGCGGGGAGGGGAGGGGGCACACGCAGGGAGGGCAGGCGCATGGCGGGGCTCAGCGTCTACTGGTGGTGGTGGTGGTGGTGGTGGTGGTGGTGGTGGTGGTGGTGGTGTCTAGTGGTGGTGGCGATGGTGGCGGCAGTGGTGGTGGCGGCCCGCGGTGTGGTGGTGTGCGTGATAAGTGAGGGTGGCACACCTGCGTTGTTGGGGACGAGCGGCAGGTGAAGGGCGCTGCCTCAACACACCTGCGCCGTGACGTGCAGCCCGCGCTGCTCCACTGCCTTCGCATCCGCCGCCGCATCGCCGCTCACTGCGCAGGAAGGCGCGGGGCACGGCACGGGCTCAGAACGCAGGGGCGCAGGGGCGGGCGACCGGCCTGGCACCGTGCTGCTGCTGCCGCTGCTGCCGGCTTGGCAACCCTGCGACACCGCACCACACCATACCACCCCCACACCACAGCCCCACACCACCCCAAACAGCACACCACAGCCCCACAGCACACCACACCCCCACGCCACACCCCCACACCGCCGCCATACCCAAACTATGGCTGTGATTTGCTAACAGCCAATCACAGCCACCCACCCACCAGGGTACGACATCCATTCGTAGTATGCCTTGCGGCCGTGAGGCGGTACAAAGGAGTAGGCGCCGTAGCAGTACGGGTCCTGCGGTACGGCGGTACGGGGGTGGGGTGAGGGTGCATGCTGCCGTGTGCAGGTGGGCAGGCGGGCACCGGAGAAGGGCAGGGGCGAAGCGGGGCACAGGCGCAGGCGCGGGCGCAGGCGCGGGTGCATTCGACGCGGCATGCCGCCGGCTGGGCAGCAGCTGCATGCGAGCAGCAGGCGACCGCCGACCGGGCTGTCCCTGGCTGCATGCCGCCGCCCACCTGCTGCCAGCGGGTGATGGTGTGAGCCATCGGCTTGCGGAAGGTGTTGGGAAACATCTGCGGGCAGGGGAATGGAGACCGAGGCATGGAAGAAGGATGGAAGGAGAGCCAGCGAAAGAGAAGAGAGGAAGAGACGGGGATAGAAGAAGGGAGGGAAGCAGAGGCAATGAAGAGACGAGAGGAGAGAGGGAGACGGTCCCTGAGACAGGGAGGGAGGGATCAGTGAGGGAGCGGCTTGGCCGCCAGGCGCCAGCAAGAGGCGCAGGAGAGGAGGAGGGGCAGCCCACAGCCCCGCGCGCCAGCAGGAGAGGCGCCAGCAGGGGAGGGGTGCTGCAGCAGCACACCTCACGCAGCGCCGCCTCCACATCCGCCAGCACCTCGCCGTCGCTCATGGCCTCGTACGCATCGATGTCCTGCGGGGGCAATGAATGTACTGCTTTGTACTGCTGATGTACTGTTGATGTACTGCTGCCGTACCATCAAGCTGCTTCCCGACCGGGACAGCCAAGCACGGGCGTGCGGCGGCCGGGCGCCAGGGGCAGGCACCGCCAGCAAGCGGGGAGGCCAGCAGCCACCCCAAGCAGCAAGCCCACCTACCTGCGGCCGCACCCAGGCGCACAGCACGTTCTCCACGCCCAGCGCATGCAGGTTTGAGAAGGTGTAGCGGCCGTGCAGGGGTCGCAGGAAGTGTGGCCCCTCCGGCCAGAACACCTGCAGCAGCAGGCGGGAAGCCGGGCGGGCAGGCAGGCGGGCGTCGGGCAGGCGGGAGGGGCAGAGAGGCAGCGCGGTCGGCACGGCAGCACAGGCGCTGGCTGGCCGCAGGGCCGGCCAAGTGCAGTGGCAGTCGCAGTCGCTGCAGCTGGCATGGCGGCCGGTAGAGCTGGCAAACAAACAACTGCATCGGTGCCACCCCATCGCCGCCTCAGCGCCACCTCAGCGCCACCTCAGCGCACCTCCTCAAACAGCATCGCCACCCGGTTCTCTGTGCCCATGCCCAGCCCGTCGATCGCCTGCTGCTTGTAGGCTGCACCCAGGCAGGCGCACGGGCAGGCAGGCAGGCAAGTACGGGCGGGCAAGCAGGTAAGCACCCACCCTGGTTGGCTGCGCCACACCCAAAACCCAGCATGCAGGCGGGCGGGCCACGTTGAGCGGCCCCGTGGCAGGCAGGTGCCTTGATGGCCCGGCCCAAGCAGCAGGTTGTGTGTGGGGTGTGTGTGCAGCAATGCCCGAGGCCTGCCCCTCACCTGGCAGCGGCGGCTGGAAGGCGACCGTCTGCTTCTGCAGGCACCCGAGGGGCAGCGTGCAGACCACAGCGTGCGCCCACAGCGGCTCCTCCTGCGGCGACAGGTGGGGTGGTGGTGGGGTGAGTGGGCGGGCATGGCACGCGCGGCGCGGCACAGTGGCTGGGTGGCCCTGCCCTGCCAGAGCTCCTTATAAGTGCAGGTAGAGCAGCGGGGAGCCCTGGGCTCGCGGAACCGGCAGGCCCGCGGTCGAGGCGCGGCTGGTGGCGATCTCGGTGCACGCAGGGCACGCAAGGGGCATCCCCCTGGCCTCCCACACG